CACCCAGAGGAGAAGCTGTGAAGCTTGATGTTACAAATGTCTTATGCAGAATGTCAACCCCACAAAGTTAAGGTAGTTGTTCATCTTGGAGGGGGTACATTTGAATCCAAAACTCATCTTTAAGACAGAAGCAAGTGTGAGATATGTTCACCTGATTCGTGTCAGTATGGAACAATGCTAGGGCAGCATTGTATGATGAATGTGACCTGTCTTACATACCCTTGTATAACCACAAGTCTAAGAAAAAAAGAGTGGTTAATGTATATAGTTCTTGTATCTTGCAAAGGAATGTTTTAGCAATTCGTGTCAATAGAGAGCTTGAAGGGAAATGTATTTGTAGACTTTTCCTTGAAATCTCTGGTATCTGGGGGGTTTCAGAATAACTGCTAACTATGATGACTATTGCGTGGGACACCATGCAAGTCTGATATCTGGGCAGGAGATTAAGGAGACGGGGAGAGCTGAAGAACAACTAAAAGACAAAGCTTGCAGGGGATGTTGCACAAGTCTCTGACATACAGCCAAGTTGGAAAAGAGGGAGGAAGACTATGAGCCTTCAGCACGAGAGACCCCCAGAGGGACCACCGGAGACTGATACGCATGCTCCAGGAGGAGGGTTTGGATTCCGGAATCTAATTATAATAACCCTGGGTTTTTTTTTAGAAGTAGTAATGAATACGTATTAGCCTAGGAGCATAAAAATCAGCAGCTTGATGTAACTGGTGTGCGTCTTGGTGGAGCAGAGACTCCTGGTGCACCCAGCGCTGTTTGCTTACCTCTATTCCTTTAATAAACTGTAAACTTTGATTATAGTCCTATTTTGAAGACTGAGCTATTTATTACACAAGGTATTAAGCTCTTTACGTTAATAGGAACGTGAGTCTTTCTGCCTGGAACACAATTCAACAGAGCAGTCAACCATTTCTTTAGCTTTGAAGATGCTGAAATGGACCCTGGGTTAAAAAGAACCGGTCCAGAGAAGGGCGACGAAGGGTGAGGAAGCTGGTGAGGGGCCTGGAGAACAAGTCCTACGAGGAGCGGCTGAGGGAACTGAGCTTGTTCAGCCTGGAGAAGAGGAGGCTCAGGGGCGACCTTATTGCTCTCTACAGATACCTCAAAGGAGGCTGTAGCGAGGTGGGGGATGGCCTGTTCTCCCACGTGCCTGGTGACAGGACGAGGGGGAATGGGCTTAAGTTGCGCCAGGGGAGTTTTAGGTTAGATGTTAGGAAGAACTTCTTTACTGAAAGGGTTGTTAGACTCTGGAACAGGCTGCTCAGGGAAGTGGTGGAGTCACCATCCCTGGAAGTCTTTAAAAGACGTTTAGATGTAGAGCTTAGGGATATGGTTTAGTGGGGACTGTTAGCAATAGGTCAGAGGTTGGACTCGATGATCTTGAGGTCTCTTCCAACCTAGAAATTCTGTGATTTTGTGGTTCCCAGCCTGTCTCTACAGATGGTTGTTTAGTGCTAAAATGTGAGTTTCCTTTCTGGTACGTGACCATCCTAGTCTTAAGATTTCCAGTACTCAGTCGTGTACCCCAGACTCCCGTGTTTTGAGAGGGATTGTACTCCCCTTACCTAATATGGGAATCCCGTTTTTGTGCCTCAAGGGTCAATGGTGTAAGGCACTTAGAAATCATTGCGGATTGTGGCTGTTGTCAATTGCCACATAAATTAAGGCCATGCAAGTACCTTCTACTCTTTCATCTTCCCTTTCATTTGTTGTCAGGTTACTACTCAATATTACACCTTTGGTGAGAAGTCCTAAAAAAAACCAAAACATTGCATCTTAATGTTAACAACTCTTGTTTTTTCCTTCTCTAGGTCTGCCAGTAGCTGACAAGGCAGAAAGATGACCTTTTCTCTCTCATTCTTGTGAAGTTAGAGGCAGTGCCCAATTAAACTGTGACTGAGGCTCTGCGATGGTGCAAGTCTATCTTACTCCTTCAAATTCAGTGATGCAGCCGGAGTTTTCAGTAATGAACTTTCAAGGATTCAACCACTTTAAAGCTTTTGGACAGTGGCAATTATCTGAAAACATTCCTACAGATTTATCTTCTTCGTTTACATTTGCTTGCTCTCTCCATCTCATTCAAAGCAGTCAGGACTGGTTTGCTTCCCTCTTCTCTGGAAGTTTGCACTAGGAACCATTGTTAGAATCAGAATCCTGATCTGAGAGCACGATGAAAAATGTTGCACACAAACTTGTCCATTGGAGAGGAAAATGTTCATGTATACGTCAGTATTGTACTCAAACAGCTGCTTACACCTTTTAACTTTTAAACCTGAGAAGCAACAGGTAGTTTCTATGTTGCCCTTGGGGATAGTGTACTCTTCTGTACTTTGCTTCTATACAAACAGCTCAAAATTTTAAAGTCATGTTGTCAGTCATACCACCAAACAACCTTGCACGGCATTACACGTTCCCCCCCCAGATAGATCTTGCCCTGAATGCGACACCAGACAAGGAAATAATGCCGGCACGTAAAACTGACTTGTAGATATATCCCTTGTTGGTATTCTTTTTTTTTTGTTTTGTTTTGACGCTTTGCGGGGCTTAGCTGTACCTCATGAGAAGAATGTCTTCTGGTGTGAACTGAAATTATACCTCTCTGCCACAATGTCCCTCTATTTATTTATTTATTTATTTATTTATTTATTTATTGGGGGTGGGGGGGAGGGTTGGGGAGGGGTGAGGAGGGTGTTGATAATTCCTTGGGGACACCTGAAGGAGTTGCAAAATAATAAAATTTAGGTGAAGGAAAAGTTCCTTCTCTTAATTTTTGTCGTTGTTGTTTTTCTTTTCCATCTGGTCATAAAAAGAAGGTCCCATTTTCTGGCTTTTGGCAGATTGCAAGCATGCTGGAACCATTCACGTTACGTAGACTGTATTTGTCTGAAACGATAATATCATACCTATAGTCTGCTGCAGGCTCAAAAGCAGCCTATGCCTCCTGGACTGTTTTATGCCTTTGCTTTTGTTACTATATCCTTGTAAGTCTTCAACAGGGAAATGAAATTACCCTATACAAAAGAAACACCATCCAGAAGAAACTTCAGGTGCTAGGGCCTGAATTTTCACTGAAACCAAAGGCAGGTATCTTATTGACGTGAAGAAAGGGGCTTTATCTATCCTGGTTTTCTTACTAATGAAGGAGCGTGAAAGAGATGCATGTCCTTGTCTCTGAAGAGGAGGCGAAGGAACAGCTAGTGCAAGGAACACAAAATTCAGTTATGCCGAACTAACAGGTGGTTGTATCCCAGCTTGGAGACCACAACACAGAATCACCTAGGTTGGAAGAGACCTCCAAGATCACGTAGTCCAACCTCTGGTGTAACACTAACAAGTCCTCCACTAAGCCGTAGCCCTAAGCTCTACACCTAAACATCTTCTAAAGACCTCCAGGGGTGGTGACACAACCACTCCCCTGGGTAGCCCATTCCAATGCCTAACAAGCCTTTTGGTGAAGAAGTTCTTCCTGACACCCAACCTAAACCTCCCCTGGTGCAACTTCAGCCCATTCCCCCTCAGCCTATCACCAGGCACATATGAGAATAGACCAACCCCCACCTCGCTACAGCCTCCTTTAAGGTATCTGTAGAGTGCGATAAGGTCGCCCCTGAGCCTCCTCTTCTCCAGACCGAACAATCCCAGCTCCCTCAGCCGTTCCTCGTAGGACTTGTTCTCCAGATCCCTCACCAGCTTTGTTGCCCTTCCCTGGACTCACTGGAGCCCCTCAATATCCTTCTTGTAGCGAGGGGCCCAGAACTGAACACAGTACTTGGGCTGCGGCCTCACCAGAGCCAAGTACAGGGGGACGATCACCTCCCTAGCCCTGCTGGCCACGCTGGTTCTTATACGAGTCAGGATGCTGTTGGCCTTCTTGGCCACCTGAGCACACTGCTGCCTCATATTGAGTCGACTAGCCACCAGTACGCCCAGGTCCTTCTCTGCCAGGCAGCTTTCTAACCACTCAGATGGCTTTTCCAACCACCTTCAAAATTCCAGATCTAGAGGAACGCTTTGACTGCGGCCTAAAAGCCAGGTGTATGTAAGCTGCCGCAAGCCAGCCAGTCTTCTTCCCATGACCTGCCAGGAAACAGCAATGTAGGCAGGTAACCAAATTAAAGCCAAAACTTGCAGCCCAGTCCTTGACCTGAATAGGGAGTGAGGATCTGGATCCTGGCATTTATGCGTGATAGCTTCTACGCAGCTGAAGTAAATACACCCCAGGTGCCCTGAGCTGGAGGACCACGACGGTGGGAATGATAAACTCCCAACCGACCCTGAACGTGTGCGGGATTTGCTGCTCCACCTGGATCTATACAAGTCTGTGGGTCCGGATGGGATTCATCCCAGGGTGCTTAAGGAGCTGGCTGACGCCATCGCAGGACCTCTCTCAATTATTTTTCAACGGTCTTCTGAATCTGGAGAGGTCCCAGTGGACTGGAAGCTGGCAAATGTCGTACCAATTTTGAAGAAGGGCAAGAAAATAGACCGTGGCAACTACAGGCCTGTTAGTCTCACATCAGCACCTGGTAAAATTATGACCTGAGCAAAGCTTTTGACATGGTTTCCCGTGGGATCCTACTGGACAAAATGTCCAGCAGACAACCTAACAAAAACATCATGCAATGGGTGAGCAATTGGCTGACAGGCAGGGCTCAAGGCCTTGTGGTAAATGGGGCCACATCAGGCTGGCACATGGTCACTAGTGGGGACCCTCAAGGCTCCATTTTAGGGCCAGTCCTCTTCAATGTTTTTATAAACGATTTAGATGTAGGACTAGAAGGTGTTTTGAGCGAGTTTGCTGATGGCACCAAACTTGGAGGAGTTGTAGACTCAGCTGAGGGGCTGAGGGTGGAAAGGCCTTGCAGAGAGATCTGGGCAGATTGGAGAGCTGGGCGATCACCAACCTCATGAAGATTAACAAGAGCAAGTGCCGGGTCCTGCACCTGGGACGGGGCCACCCTGGCTATACGTACAGACTGGGTGACGAGATGCCGGAGAGCAGCCCCGCACAGAGGGATCCGGGGGTGGTGGTTGACAGCAAGTTGAACATGAGCCAGCAGTGTGCCCTGGCAACCAGGAGGGCCAACCGTATCCTGGGGTGCATCAAGCACAGCATTGCTAGTTGATCAAGGGAAGCGATTGTCCCGCTCTACTCTGCACTGGTGCGGCCTCACTTCGAGTACTGTGTGCAGTTCTGGGCACCACAGTACAAAAAGGACAGTAAACTGCTGGAGAGCGTCCAGAGGAGGGCGACGAAGATGGTGAAGGGCCTAGAGGGGAAGACGTATGAGGAGCGGCTGAGGTCACTGGGCCTGTTCAGCCTGGAGAAGGGAAGGCTGAGGGGGGACCTCATTGCAGCATACAACTTCCTCGCGAGGGGGAGTGCAGAGGCAGGTGCTGACCTATTCTCTGTAAGCATCAGTGATAGGACCCACGGGAATGGTGTTAAGCTGAGGCAGGGAAGGTTTAGGCTGGACGTCAGGAAGAGGTTCTTCACCGAGAGGAGGGTGGTTTCACGCTGGAACAGGCTCCATAGGGAACTAGTCACTGCACCAAGCCAGTCTGAATTTAAGAAGCGATTGGACTGTGCACTTAGTCACAGGGTCTAAACTTTTGGGTAGACCTGTGCGGTGCCAGGAGTTGGACTTGATGATCCTTATGGGTCCCTTCCAACTCGGGATATTCTATGATTCTATAAATAGTGCAGTCAGAGGTCATGGGGCTAGATTTAGAAAAGTCCTGCATAAAGAAGGGATCTCAGAAAAGAAAATTTAAATAACATTAATATCAAGAAAAGGAATTCTGATTGCTACATTCTTTATCTGTCATGACTAGACAGATGAAAATCTATGATGGCAAGTTTGCCTTTAAGGTCATTTTCTTTTTTATTCATATCTTTTATTTATTAGTATTTATTTTTTTAACAGGCTCTGTACTAATGTTCCTCACAGAATGACTAACAGAAATATGACCTTCGTGCAAATTTTGTAGTTATTTCATTAGGTCAACTCTAACCACTAAGCCCCTTGTCAGGTTATTTCTACTAGTGATAAGGAGCAATTGACCTTAAAACTTTGAAGCCAGGTAGACGAGCTTATTCCACAAGGTCTCTTGGTTCCACCCTTGTTGAGTGAAACCGGCCAGGTGTGGGTCATTTGACCTTTGCTATATAGGAAGCCTGAGGAGGGGTGGGGGGAATTGCCTCCCCCAGGAAAGACTGAGGCTTAGGTTGCCTAGGGTATTTTGCTCTTGTGGTGAATTGGGCTCAGCGTTCCCCAGTAGGCTGCTTTTCTTTCATGTTTTCTGCACCCTCTCTGTGCAATAGTTTTAGAGACTCTATGAGACAGTTACATTGGTGGTTCCTTCTTCAGTAAAACGCTGGTGGCACTATTTCACAGCGAAGCACTTTGGAAGTGACTCAAGTTCAGAAGACTACAGGTAAGTGTTCCTGGGTTCTGTGGTTGTTACTGTTGAGTACTTCCTTCACCTTGTCTGTTTTCTGTGAAATTACTTAAGTGAATTCTAAGCACCATTCCAAGCACTGGGGAAAAAAAAAAAAAAGGCCTCCTACACCCAAGTGCACACAGGTAAGCCTGATATTGAGAAATGTTCTTAAGTATTTGGAAGATTGAAAAATGGGCTGTGCGAAAAAGGTACCTTAAAGTGAATGCAGAATTTGCATTGTGGTAAGTAGAAACAGACTGGGATGGATATGGGGTGCTGAGCGGTGGTAGGGGCGCCCCAACCATTTGGTTTTGTGTTTTATTTTCCAGAAACAGAATTTGGACACATTCAGCAGCTTTCTGTTAGGCTCTTATCGCTCCCATGAGTTAGGATTACTCTGCATTGCTTATGATAGTTCATTACAGAACTCATTGAGGTAAATGGAATGAGTGTCTTCAAAAATTTTTAAAAATCTGACTGCATCTCAGGACATATAATTGTGATATTTTCTTTTTTTATAGGTAGGCTTCTTGATGCTATTGACAAGGAAGGCTTGAAGAATACCACATTTGTTTATTTTGCATCTGATCACGGTGGATCTGTACAGGCTTACAGAGGAAATGCCCGCTTAGGTGGATGGAATGGGATCTATAAAGGTAAAATCTTGGCAGCATGTGCATGCATAAAACTACCTATTAGAAATAAATATAATAGATAAATGAATAAATAAAATAGATAAATAAATAGAATAAAATATGTCCAGCTATTTTTACAAAGTGTAGTGGGTTTACGTGGCAAGGCTTTGGTAGCAGGGGGCCATAGGGGTGGTTTCTGTGAGAAAGATCTAGAAGCCGCCCCATGTTTGGGAAGGGCCCCATTGTTTTCCAAATCTGAGCCAATAAGCGATGTTGTTTTGTGCCTCTGTGAGAGCATATTTAAGACAGGGAAAAAACGCTGCGCCACACAGCAGCCGGGAGAGTCAAGGGAGTGAGAAACAGCCTTGCAGGTGCCAAGGTCAGTGTAGAAGGAGGGGGAGAGGTGCTCCAGGCGCCGGAGCAGAAGTCCCCTGTGGCCTGTGGTGAGGACCATGGTGAAGCAGGATGTCCCCCTGCAGCCCATGGAGTACCACGGTGGAGCAGGGTTTCACGCTGCAGCCCGTGGAGGAGACCACCGTGGAGCAGGTGGCCCTGCACCGACGGAGGCTGCCGCCTGTGGAAGACCCCTGCCGGAGCAGATTCCGGGCCGGACCTGTAGCCCGTGGAGAGGAGACCACGCAGGAGCAGGTGATCTGGCAGGAGCTGCTGCCCGTAGGGGAGCCAGGTTGGAGCAGTTTTCTCCTGAGGGATGGACCCCGTGGTACGGACCCATATCTGGAGCAGTTCTGGAAGAGCTGCTGCCTGTGGGAAGCCCACGCCGGATCAGTTCGTCAAGGACTGCATCCCGTGGGTGGGACCCCACAGCACAGGGGATGAGAGTGACCGAGAAGGAGCAGCAGAGAAGAAGTGCTGTAGACTGACCATAACCCCCATTCCCCCGTTCCCCTGCGCCGCTCGGGGGGAGGAGGTGGAAGAGGGTGGATGGGGGGGGAGGTGCTTTTGGTTTCTTTCCTTTGTTTCTCACTTCTCTAGCTTGTTAGTAATGAGCAATAAATCTTACTATCTGTCTTCTTATGCTGAGTCTGGTTTGCCCGTTACACTAATTATTGCGTGATTTTCTCGTCCTTATCTCAATCCTTGAGCCCCTTTCACATATTTTCTCCCCATTCCTCTTTGAGGAGGGAGAGTGAGAGAGCGGCTGTGGTGGAGCTCGGCTGCCCACTCGAGCGGAACCACGACAAAAAGGTATTTACAAAGCAACATGCTGGAATGAAAATCTTAGTTTGTAGGGCTGGAGCAACTTCAGGGCATCAGCTAGTCAGCCTTCAGTTCCTAGACAAGATCTCTTTCACCAAAGCTGCTCCTGACAGCTACATTGTCGTATCTATTCTTGAAGACGTTCAGCGATTCCCCAAGTACTCATTTGCATTGTCAATGCTACTAGATTTGTTTGTTTGTTTCCTGGTATTTACCTTTCCTTGCTTCAGATTATGCAGAAGCTCTTTCCTTATTCACCAATCTAAATTATTTTATTTGACATGATTTCATCTTGGCAGAACTATTACTGATATGCTAATTTCCTTCTACATGCGTAAAAGTTATATGATTATTGATTGCAATATTTATTCAGGCAGTCTACTGCTATTTGTTTTGGTTTGTTCTGCTTTGTTTTCCAAGATAGACACCACAGCTTGCCTTTTTCCAGTCTGATACCTCAGCAAATCTCCACAACTCAAACAAAACAACTCTTCATCAACTAGTGCTATGAATGCTCCAAACATTCATCAGGTTCAGACTGTTTGAAAACATCTGCCCTTAGTCAAGGCCTAATGGATGCCTAATGGATGACAGGGTAAACTCTTTGTTACTTGGTAACAAGCCAGGTTTGTGTATTAAAGACTCATACAGAAGCATCATTAAAATCAGTCAATATTTCAGTTTTCTTTCCTGATTTGTTCTTGTTTCCCAATGAATAGCAACCAGTACTTTTGCCTTTTTTTTTGCCATGATACTTCTTATTTCTATCTCTCATCACTAGTTAACTTTCATTACATGTTCTGTGCTTTCTGATTTTGTCATTAAGAGTCCATAAAATAAACCCATCCTTAATAGCCTGACTGAGATTTTTCCTCTTATATTACTCCTTCTTGGACTTGGAATCCACAGAAAAAGCACATGAATTGCCTAAATAATTATACTTCCTACTTTTCCACTGAAATACATGTATGAAAACCTAAACTTGTGCCCTTTAATACTGGTTCTTTAAAGACTCACCAGTTCTTATTGATATTTTCCCCACAAACAGTTTCTCCGAGGAGTCCTCCTTTACCAGTCCTGTAGCTTTATTAAAATCTGCCTTTCTGGAGTTCCTTGTTTTGTTTTTTTGCCTTAATCCTTTAGGTCTTAAATTTTTCATGGTTACTCTTACCAACCCACCTTACATGTGGTTATTCTCCACTTATTCTTGCTCTAGTACTAAATCATCGAATCACAGTATGGCTTGTGTTGGAACAGACTTCATATGTCATCTTTTTCCAACCCCTCTGCCATGGGCAGGGACACCTCCCACTAGATTAGGTTGCTTAAAGCCTCATCCAACCTGGCCTTGAACACTTCAAGGGATGGGGCATCCACAGCTTCTCTGGGCAGCGTCTTCCTGTGCCTCATGACCCTCTGAGTGATGTTTCTTCCTAATATATAATCTAAATCTCCCCTCTTTTAGTTTAAAACCATTACTTCTTGTCCTATTGCTACAGTCCCTGATAAGAGTCCCTCCTTAACTTTCTTGTAGGTACCCTTTAGGTATTGAAAAGTTGTTCTCCAGGGGTCTCCCCAGAGCCTTCCCTTCTCCAGGCTGAACAACCCCAACTCCCTCAGCCTGTCTTTGTAGGAGAGGTGCTCCATCACTTTGATCATCTTCAAGGCTCTCCTCTGGATTCGTTGTAATATGTCCATGTCATTCTTCTGCTGGAGGCCCCAGAGTTGAATGCAGGACTTCAGGTGGGATCTGATGAGAGCAGAGTAGAAGGGGAAAAACACTTCCTTCACCCTGCTGGCCACTCTTCTTTTGTTGCAGGCCAGCATACAGTTGGCTTTTCTGGGCTGCAAGAGCACATTGCCAGCTCATGTCAAGCTTCTCATCAACCAACACCTCCAGGTCCTTCTTCTGAATTCATAAATACTCCCTTCTACTTGCTTTTTCCATCTCTTTTGTCACTTTGTAGAAAATAAGCAAGGAAGAAAACAGTTTCTAAAGCCCACTGCTGGTTAGTACTTATGTTTTTCCTCCATTTCCCTTAGATGAGCTCTGTACTCCTTTCTCTGTGCTTCACCATGAACTCAGCAGTGCTGCTTTGCATCAAAGCATACATCAGTGCAGACATCAGTGCAGCAGAGGCTAAAGACCAAACCCTTGATGCTTTTATGACAACAGATCTGATGAGATTCCTTAATCTGGACTGAAATCCTTTGGAATTCCTCTAGCTGTCTGAACCCATGAGATAACTCTCCAGATTTCTAAGACCTGAAAAGCCACTCTGATATCTTGGGCAGCTTAGCACTTACTGTATAATGAAGACTGAAAACTGTTCCTATTGCTTATTTCCCTACAAACGAAGATTCAGGTGCTTTGATCTTGCTCAGCATCAACATGCACATTCTCTAGCAGTAAGTGCTTTGAGCCACACAATAAATTTTTGATAGAGCTTAGATCACATCCAGTAGCAGTCCTAAATGCAAAATTAGCCTTCAGTTCTGGACATGAAGTTTCCATACCAGTAACAGATTCCAAAAAAAAAGCCAATGGACTAACTTGAGTCTAACCTAGGGTATTCACTAGCCTAAAATACGAATATGAATAACAAGAGATGAAAGGTGAATGTGATTAGATAGTGATTTCAATGAGGCCAATGATGAAAACATGCCTGCTTAGAGATGGGACAAGGGGAGATAGATATAATATTAGTTTAGAAATTAACAACAGAAAGGGGTTATTCACATTTATCTCTGCATACAACAGAAGAGGGGACACCCCGTTAATTCATAAATACCTGTAGAACTCACTGCTGTAAGATGTTATTACTGCTAAGAGGATATTAAAAACAAGAAGAGCCATGCACATGGGTAATAAGAACAGGTGTTAGTAAACAACAAGGTGTGAGAACCCATCATTCTACAAAGCACAAGGTTATTGCACAAGTAGGTGGACTTGCCCTTCTTGTAATCCACCATATGACTTTGTCAGCCTCTTAAACCAAGCTCTCGGAAACTTGCCTCTCAGCTCTAAGTATGAGCATACCTCGTCCATAGTAAAAGCCAGGGCCTAGTTTAAACAACCATCCACGTTTGCTGGTTTATTAACTGAACTAATACACCAGCTTCAAGTTTTACTTGACAAATTTTCTACCAGTTTTTTCAGCAATGTCTGGGCATCTCTGCCCTCAATAGAATGAACAACAGAGTAAATGTCATGTATGTACCTGAGCTTCACACTTACACTTTTTTTTATTTTCTGAATGGACCATCAACTTGGCTAATGGATTTCTGGCTTTAATGGAGTTAAATGGATTTTCTGGCTTAATTAACATACCCATCCTTGACATTAAGAATAGACATTTGCAGTTAATTAATCATTCTCACTTTGAAGCAGCATTCAAAAATATTTATATATATATATATATTTTGGCTTACAAGATAGCCAATGCATGGAAGAAAAAAATACAGGAGAAGGTTAAGAAGATTAGAGGAATGCAGGGAAAAAAGACTTTTTGGATTTTTTTCACATCAATAGAAATGTAGGTGGAAGTCTTCCTTACTGCAAAACATTTAGAGTGCTTCCCCATTTACCACATGGTTCTGCACATGGGACCATGGGACCACCTCAGACCATCCCTGGGATTGTAAACTCTTGGAGGGCAATCATTATCATAGTTCCTCTCACTGCTCTTCAGGATTGGAGAAATCATTTTGTAATGTTCAGCAGCCTCTGGTTTAGAACCGTCTGACTGTGGGAGTGTGCCCATGGGAGTCGACAAGCCCCAATCTGTTGACCAAGTTTGCCCTGTGTTAATTCCCTTTCTAGGGCACCATGTGAGGCTGCAACCTCTCTTTCATTGACAGAGCCAGATATTGCTTTTTACTAATAACAGATGTGCATGTTTTTAGGGAGTGTGATTATTCTCAAACATGACATTCAATTAAAAATACAGGTTAGAATGTCCTCTGAAGCATCGGAGGGTGAAATTATTCCTCTTATGCCCAAAACGCTGCTTTGTATTGAGTTTCTATATATACCCCACAAAGAAGTTTAAAATAAAGTAATAAGTAATCAGCTTATTCTTGAAGAATGGGGCTTGCATTGTAGTCATTTTGCTGTTTTCCATGTTTTCATTAAAAGTATTTGAATATTTTGAAAATTTTAAATCCTTTAATTATACATGCATAATAAATGCCTAGTATCTTTCATTCTTGTATTTATCTGTTTTTGTTTTGTTTTGTTTTTTCTCCTGTAACAGGTGGAAAAGGAATGAGAGGTTTGGAAAGAGGGACCCGTGTTCCAGGAATAGTTAGATGGCCTGGAGCGTTGCCTGCAGACATAGTTATCAGTGAACCAACAAGCCTTATGGACGTTTTCCCAACGGTGGTTCAGCTGGCTGGAGGGGTAGTGCCTCAAGACAGGTACAAAAGTGGCTTCATAAACCATGCTTGCTCTCCTTCCTTGATTTAGATCAAAGCTGACTATATGTCACACATCCTAATGCCTGTGGGTTAAATTCTATTAGTTGCTAAACCAGATAGTTCTCTAGCAATCTTCTGCTTAGTTTTCCCCATCTTACCTGATTCCATGGGAAAGGCAAACAACATGTGTTATCAAGGATCAGTTAGACAACTCAGTTTTCTAATCACTGAAAGGGAACCTGGCCTACTGGAGTCACTGGGATGACTTTGGGGGGATAAAAAAAAAAAAGGAACTTTTATATGAAAAATTGTAAATTCATAAAGCTGGTTGGTCCTATTAAAAAATACCTAAGACAGGCCCTTTCCTGGACTGGGATGCCTGGTTCTTTGTGAGTAGGGAAGATGGATCAAGCTGCCTGTATTTGGTACCAGTAATGGAGAAGTTCATTCCTCGGAAGTAAACAAATGGTAGCATCTATGTTAGACTCCTCTAAAGAACAAGTGAAAGGCTGGATGCCTACGGCATTCTGACCAAAAAGCAGAAAAGTCCTTGTGTTGCATCACTAAGCCAACTGTCAGCCAGTTAACTAAGTGGCACTATTTTTACACAGCCCTAAGCTCACAGAGATATCGGTGACTTCAGTTTCAGGGAGTCAGATTAAAAGTGGTGACCCTTGCCTTTTCTATGGTTATCACTTGTTTACCCCTAGGAAAATTACATTAATGATAACCTATCTCTCCAGGATGTGTGAACTAAATGCAATTGCACAAACTGCTATTAACTACTAATCGCTGGCCTCCACCCTTCTACACAATTAAAAATGCCAGGGCTCGTTAGCTAAACAGTAGCTTATTCTAGAAATACCTGAAATCCTAATTCTGCATGCATGCATAGTGCATACCGCTCACACTCCAGCTGCAGGGTGAAACTCCTGAACAGCCTGGTGACCTCCGTCCTCTTCATCAGGGTCATCGACGGACGCATCTTACTGCCTCTACTGCAGGGGACAGCTCGGCACTCAGAGCACGAGTTCATGTTTCACTACTGTGGTGCGGTGTTGCATGCAGTGCAGTGGCACCAAAAGGACAGTGAGTATAAACATTCCCATCCTCCCGCTGATCAGAGATAATGTAACGACCTCTAATTTCCAGTACACTAGCATGTAAAAACATCTCTACACATCTGGAGTGTCTTTCTTTAAACTTCTGCAAGGTGCACAATGGCCGAGCTGTTCACTAGCTGTCCTGCCTTGCCTGAGGGAAGGGTTTTGCTTCCTGTGAAGCACAGTTTTAAGATTGCATGTTGTTGCTGTGTCTCTATTGCTTTTGCTGTGAAAGCACTCAGGATCAACTTTACTTTGAAGAAAAAGGAACTGCACGCATAAGGTCTTTATCTTAAGGAGTAGTTTGTTTTCAGTAGCCCTACACTATTTGTTTTGTTCTTTTTCAGCTGTGGCATTAGGCAAGCTGACTGCAGCTGTAATGTTCTCTCTAGCTTTCAACAAGCACCAAATTTTTGCTGATGTCATCCTCCATTGAAGCATAAAATAGAATGGGCTAGCGCCTGGAAGCTCCTGCTCAGAATGGAGGGTGGCATCTGTGTGACCAAACAGAAGCAGTGATTCACCTCCTGACTAGCACATCTGGGCACATCATTAGCAAGTTAGATCAGTCGCACCTAAAAGTGCCTGCTGCTCTCCACTGACTAAAAAGGGAGCGGAGACTGCCCATATCGGATATAAAAATCTCCCTTATGTTAACTTAAAGTTACTTGAGATTAACTATGCCTTCTGTGAGCAGATGATGTGAGAGTATTTGTAAAGCTGACAAATTAGTCATCACTACTATACATTTTTGTTTGTTTTAATTTTGCACAGCTGGAAAAACTCAGAAGCCAATGGAGTAGGCTATACCTACTCACCTTCCTTTAGGAATTTGAACGAGCCCCTTTGATTTTTGTTTTCTGTATTTATGAAGTGAGAGAATAATTACTGAGATCTTGTGAGACTACAATTAAGTAACAGTTACAAAATGCTAGGGTATGCCACCAACATCAGCTGTTCAAATTCAGCTGTTGGTATGCTGACAAGAAGCTGGCTGTTTGAGAAGTACTTTGAGTGCTGCCAGTGTGGTGAGATGTCAAGCAGCCCTGAAAATCTTTCTTATATCAATGTTAGCTGAGTGATCTTTCTTAAACTTATCTAGATTTTCTTTATGATGCTTTCTGATACTATGACAGTTTCAAAAATTAATAGTATGAAGACCAGAGTCTACCTGCTGAGAAAACACCTGAAAACTGCAAAACTTATTCATACTTGCAAACATTTCAGAATAGATTTCTCTGTTCCTGTCACAGACGAGATCGTTCTGCTAGAACACACAAGGGCATCAGGATAATTACTGAGAGCTTTGCAGCCCTTCTTGTTGGTGTGTATAAACACATACCAGGGTTGCAACACCAATTTTTTTTAGTCACGCTGCCAGTTTAAACCTGAGGTCAGTGCCCTTGACATCATGCCACAGAAGCCTGGCTCCGAGGCAGGAAGTCACTGAGCTTGGCTGGCAGGAAACGTGAGGGAAAACAACAAAGATCGAATGTGCTGCGCCGGGGGCCAGTGGCCGGGGCTGACGAGGGGGCTCGGCTGGGGGCCGGGCAGCAGCCGCCGAGCGGAGCGGGAGGGGAAGGCGCCGCCAGGGGGCAACGCGGCACCGCCACAACCGCCACAAACCGCCATAACCGCCGCAACCGCCGCCGCGCTCCGCCTCAGGGCGCAGCTACCGCGCTTGGGGGCGCCTCGGCGTGAGGCAGGCGTCAAATAAGCACTTTAGACAAAGAGATTAATAAATAATGGCAATAACAATTCCCTGGATCTCTGGCGCAGTTACCAGTCCCACTTTTCGTTTTTAAATTTGGATAAGCATGCAGACGAGCGTGCTCTCCCCTCCGATCACAAAAATCCATCACAAGTTGCTTATGAAGCAACCCACCCTGAGCATATGTTCTTGTGCTTTGGTTTGCACTGTGGAATGAACTTGAAGACTGTAACTTTAGAGCAAACTCTCTGTGAAATAGCTTCTGGTTTCACAACAAATAACGCTCTCATCACTCTCAGATTTTGAGCAGATAGGACCAGAGAGTTAATTTCCAGTAAAGCACCCCCAAAGAAATATAGTGCAAATATCAAGCTATTAACACCTCTTTTGCTCTACTAATCAGTTTTTAATAGGTTGTATTACTTGCAATATAGACACAGATATGATATACAGATGTTATACAGGGTTATTTTGTCTTCCTCTGAAACTAAAGCACAGCTACAGCTCTCATGCATGCCTTTCTACAGTTTTTAACATTGAAACACACTGTGGATGGCTAGGGGATTGAAAAGAATAGGATGTTCTGCATATGAAAGACTAGCTTACCAAATATTACTCTTTTGCTCAACTTTCAGCTAGGGTAGAAATTCTGATTCTTTGCTCTGACAGCCATTCCTTCTTACTAGGCTGGCAGACGTTAAGTTTTCTTATAGTTGAGCCCACTGAAAGGTATATCACATTCATATTATGCATTTAATATCCGCTCCCTTGTATTTGCTGGACAGGCTGAATATGAAGCCATTGTGTCTTACTGTCAGGATCCATAAATTAAGCCCTTCACTGAAGCCAGAAGAATCCTTTGGCTGTATGTTAAAGTGTTTTCCTCTACCACAACACAATAAGACTTATTAGTGATAGCCCATTTCTTTCTGCTCATTAAATTGATTGATTGTTACCAGATGGGTTTGAGAGATGTTTGGATGGAAGAAGCAGGTTTTCTTTCCCTTAGATATATTACATTAACATGTTGCCCTAAAATTCACACACATTCTTCAAATTCCGTCAGAGATACTTCAGTAGTAAATTGTGTATCCCTCCTTGCCTCTTGGAGATGGCCCAAATCTCTGCTGGTTCCATCAATGCTGATTTCTACCACCTTTTTTCATTTTTAATTCTTTTTTTTCCTTTTTTTTTTTTTTATTCCCTGATCCCTCTGTAACCTCATTGTTTATTCAGCTCACCAACACAGGTTACAGTCAGCCTGACTCTGTCCTTCCGAATGACCTAACAAGGACCCAGCTCTCTCCCACTCTGCAACCCCAGTAATTCTTTGCAGCTGTGAAAAACAGATATTAAAATTTTTGCAAAATCAGAACAATTCTGCTTAGGCACTCTACTCTTGATTGCTGTAGGATATATGTTGTGAGGAATTCAGTTCAGTTGTTAAAGAGTGACTTGATTTGCTTTTTCTGAACACTGATCACAAACTTCTCTATTGTAGGAGTTCATAGCTGTCTATCTCCTATTTGTCTATGAAATGGTCGGTCATTTTAGCTATATCACAGTCATACAGCTAATCAGAAAAAAAAAATGCATATGTCCTAGAGGGGCCTTCTTTAACTCCTTCTAACAAGCATCAATGCTATGCAACCAACAGACATAGGACCCAAACCCCATGCGTAGGGAACCCTGATATGACAGAGAGTGCTCGCATTCTTGTCGTAAGATAAAAACATACTTTTAGTCACAAGACAGGGAAAAGTAGGTGTTCGGAACACATTCTTGCCAGCAGGATAGCACCCACCCAAACAGAGCTAAGGAATACCTGTCCTCGGTAAGTCAGCAGCAGCAGCAGCGAGCCATTTTCTTTTCTGAAATCCAGGTCTGCATCCTTTCTCTGACAACTTCAGAAATGGAGACATCTAAAATCTAACAATTCTAAATGTGTTATATAGAAACATTTCAGAACCATTGAGCCATCATCCCTGCACAGAAACGTAGAACCATAGCTTAGCAGGATGTGGAAATTGTAGAGTAGGAATAAATAGAAACATGGCAAGATAGAAGCAGAAGATCTTCAGCTAAAAGATTATCCAAGCTTTAATAGCTGTTATTTGCTTCCCCTCACATTTTAAGAAGGTTTTGGCAGTGATGGTGGTGGTTTTTGTGTTTTATTTATTTATTTTTCAATTAACAACTTCTCCTAACGACTGCGACACAAAAGAGACAGAAGAGCAAAGCTACAGAATCCCCAACACAAAGCTCAGCACAGGGGACAACAGGCAGAAGGAGAGTTCAGCAGATCCCATTGAACCAAAAAGAAAAATGCCATGTAGGCATTTGTCATTTCAGATGTCGGCTGTTTGTGCTCAGTGCTTCAAAGAAAGGGCTCCAAGTGTTGAAGATCCCCTTTCTTCTCCTCTCCTTTTTTCAGATGTAGTGTCTAATAGCTGTCTTCTTACTGGGCTCTTCTTTGCCTCCTCTTGGAACGTGCTCAGCGTAGTGCTTTCTAAACACAGGGAGAGGAACAGAGGGAAAGGAGGAGGGAGGGGAAAAGGAAAAATCCTCATTTGAACTACATTTACTTTGTCATTTTTTCACTACAAGTTACAGTTTGCACTTATCCAGTGATCAGTACAACAGCTTGGTGAAATACAAGCTCCGAAGCTGCAAACTGATTGCATTCATGGTATTCACTTAACAACTATCCCCCACATTTTATTGTTTTCATGGCCTGCCATTAATGCCCTATTTGAAGAAGTGCTTGAAAATGAGCACAGAAATGTGTTGCATCAGCTCCTGCCCAGGTGCTGCTCTTGGCTCAGACATACAGAGCTAGCAGAACCACCATCTACCCATATCTACATTGAGAAATGGGGGATACATTCTCCATTTTCCCCACCAAGAGGAGTATAGAGTTTTAAAAGGTCACAAGGAATGGGCAGGCTCTCTGCACCCAAAATACTAGACCTAAGCATCCACCAAGTGTACGTGCCCTTGCCAGTACTCACAGCTCAGATGTGCCTTTGAGTCACGAAAACAATCCTGAGTCCCTGCCAGGTCCCCAAAAGAGCTTTTTCCCCAGATGTGACAGCCACGAGGGGAGCTTGCAGGTAACTTAAAACTTGAACCACCCTTCCAGGGACCTCCCTGACTCCTACTGCCACTAGGCTGTTCAAATGTGGTTTTGTTACAGGGGGCACCACATGGAAAGCTCATTATGTGACTCCAGTATTCCAGCCAGAAGATTCCAGAGCCTGTTTTGGAAGACGAATTTGCCCGTGTTTCGGGGACGGTGTAACCCGTCATGACCCTCCCTTGCTGTTTGATCTCTCCCAAGATCCTTCTGAGGCAAATCCTCTCTCAGCTGACACTGAGCCCTTGTTTGATACCACAGTGAGCAGAATAGGGAAGGCTGTGGAAGAGCATCGCAGGACGCTGCCTCCAGTCCCACAGCAGCTCTCTTCTTACAATAACATATGGAAGCCGTGGCTGCAGCCGTGCTGTGGCATGTTTCCCTTCTGTTGGTGTGATAAAGAAACCAACAAAGCCGATGACATGCTTAAATACCAAAATCAAAGTACAGTTAGCTTAAAAAAGGTACTAATTTTCACATGCACAGGACTACAGTCATATAGAGATGGGGACAAATTACACTGTAATAACTGAAAGGGACAATCTCTTCTCTCACAAAAATTCACTCAGCCTATACTTTAAAAAAAAAAAAGAAATATATATATATATATATGCTCAAAACATATTTTGTCTGAGTCACCTGTATAATCTATACCTCAAATGCACAATTCTAGGTCAAATATCCAGGTAAATGAACCAAAATTTCTTTCCTCACTGATTTTAAATTCAAATAAGTTCTAGATGGCATGAAATCAAACTTTAATTGCTGCTGTATATACAGGTAACATGCTTGTTAAGGCAAAACGACTGAGCCCAAGTAGATCTCTCCTTTCAAGCCTTGCCTTTTTAATAAAAAAAGCTGTTGTGTGCTTAGAGCACAGTTAGGCATTTAACTTGGAGCCATGAAAACACACTGGCCTCTAAGAAATAAAAGCTTTTATTTTACAGCAACAGTTTGCTTTATCTGCACATTCACTTATCTATCACATAGGAATTCCCAGCGGGGAGAAGACAAAGAAACTGCAAGTATGTTTTAAAAAAGTAGGTAGCTAAATTTACAATCCCAAATTCAGCAGGTAAGTATCCAGCTATTCTGGAATGCTAAACCACGGCGATTCCTACTGACGCACCTTTTCCATGTTGTTAAATCATGTTCTGTGTAAGAGCATTGAAAATCACCATCCAGCTGCCTGGACAAGATAGGTCCCAAATTTCACAATCTGTGAGACTGATTCATAAGCTGCATGTCCCACTTCAACGGTAATGCCCCCGATTTCCTATGCTCCACGCTAATACGCTCCATGAAAAATGTGCTTTGTTTTGGAAGACGGTATTTTGGTTTCAGCAGGAGGTGTTAAAAAATCCACAGCACACACACTAATCACCTCAGTGTATGTATAGGTCATATTCGACAAGCCAAACAAGTGTCAGCACTCTGCACAGTCATTAGGGAAAGGTAGGGAATTAAAATGTCTAATCCTCTCTCGCTGCTCTCTGGTTAACTAAATCATTGCTCAATATATAATCCTAACCATGTTTTTGCAGGGGTTTTGTGTCAGCTCCAATTTTTATGCAGAGGCTCCTACATTTTCTGCTTAAAAAAGAAAAAAAAGTACGCTGTGTGGCAGAGACAATTTCTAAGCCTTCCTGAGCACTGTGTTCACTCCTACCATGCAGCTAAGTATCTGCATGATTTCAAGTGACAAGGGAGGGCAAGACCAGCCCAGCAGAAGCTTCAGGTAACTTGTTTCCCTAAACCTATCAGCCTTGCACAATATGAAGGTCACCCATGTGTCATTTTCCCCCTTGTAGAACAGGGAGGAGATAAGGAGGCCAGGGCAGCACAGCACTGCAGGGTTGGTAATCCCAGAGCAGCGTGCAGCTCTCGAGCTGTGACAGCTAGTCACAGTCCTTTCACCAGCCTCAGGACAAAACAGCACGTGTGCCTGGAATTACACACTTTTTGAGGTGTTTTCAAGCAAGCTCCTGACTTTTATCCCCCATGTGCACATCACCAGTGTGGTAAGTCACAATGTTTTGGTCTAAAGAGCACACATTGTGACCATGATGCAGCACCAAAAGAAGTCTCCATAAAGCAAAAAGGGTATTTCTTCACGTTATTTCCACTTAGTATTTTTCCTCTAAAAGGACACCGAGCAAATTATGCAGATGTTATTCTGCACAAATCAAAGGGCTAATCTGACAATGAACTGATAAGACAGATCAATGTCAGGCTTGACAGAAGTATCTAAAAATACATTTGTTCTTACTGCTTGATAGCATTTAAATCCAGATCGGCCTTGCTAAGAACTTGTCAAAAGATATTTTTCTGTGGCTGACAGGGATTGAAAGCAGAGCAGCTGGATTCACAAGGAAAGAAAAGAGCCTAAAAGACCCTGTGCTTTAAAGCCAGTTCGGTTGACTCAGAGATGGAGGAGCGATCTTGCTGCTCGGGGGGGGAACAAAGGCAAAAGTCAGAGTCAGTCCAGCCTGCCCAGTAACATCTATGCTGCCAGTAAAGCCTGGCCATAAACTTACCCTCTGATCACCCCAGCACTCTCCTCCCCATCCCCAACCAGTCAGACACAAGAACCTGCCCCATCACAGGCTGGGCCATGACTAATGGGTCTACCAAGAGGCAGGCAGCACAAAAACACAGGTCTTGCAGGCAGAGTGGGAAGCCCAGTACATCAGCGAAACCCCCAAAACCAATCTCTGACCAGGGTGTGAATATTTCTGGCCCGTGGTCAAAGGCAGGCTAAGAGCTAGCAACAGGAGCAGAAGGCATTTGGATGGGCTGATACCACATCCAGCACTAAAGCCTGCCCTTCACCTCGCAGCAGAGACATGGTAAATCATCACCAGAATTAGAAATTACTTAGATTTTATTATTATTAAAGTTATGAGGTAACTTATTTTACCTGTTTCCTGCAGATCCTGGCCATGGAGTGGTGGCAGATCTCTTGACTTTATGCATCCAGCAGCCTGCTCTGCAGGACATCACGCTATTCCTATGTCCTGGGAACACACATTCCCCCTAAAGCAGGTGAACCCAACACCATGCTTAAGAGTTGTCCTGGGTGCATGCTTCCAAATAAAATGCATTAATGATTAAAAGGCTGTTTTTGTCAGATGTGACACATTTGCATCTGTATGATACTAAAAAATAAACTCAGTTACTAAGGAGTGTTTTTTTTCTGAAAAAAATGTAATGATATTCTAAAAAACAAACAAACAAAAAAAAAAGGAATATATGATGCTCTCTCCATTGTTTTCTCAAGGCTTCTCCCTTTGTAGAAGGGAAGAAGCACCACATGAACTGGCCTATTAGGCGAATCTGAGACACCTGGCAAAACACCAAGCCACTGTTAACCACAGGAGAATGCGCCTACATATGGTTAAATACAGGTGCCATACAGAGGGAAGCAGCTCTGTAACAAAAGAAGTTTGTTTTTATGGAAAGGGCTGTGGCTGAGCTGTAAAAATGTCTGACATTCGTGATGTATGAAGCTGACTTCCATCTAAATAGTTTGATCATTATTAAATAACATTTGGAATCTCTGCACTAGACTGACTCAACAAAGTAATTGTTTTGAGTCTCACAAGAGTGAGACAATAAGCTTCTAAAATAACTCACTTCACCGTGTTTAAATACCACAGACGCGTTGACTTGCTCTCTGCTGTGACCCAGGGGAACACCACTGCATAAATCACTAGAGCCCATCACCTGAGAGTACAAATAATTGTGTAACAGACGAACTGAGAACACAAATTTGTGTTTGGGGGACGCAACTCATTTACACGAGTAATGAAAGGGAAGAAGTGAAATCAAAAGACTTCTGCTCCCCACTGGATTGTAGGCTAAAATACATACACACATAGTGTTGAAATGAATCTCAGAATATTTCTGTAGAATGTTTTAATTGCAAAATTACTTCTGAACAACTCTGCAAAACTCAAATTTATTAAAAGCATATTTTCTCTTTGCATTACTGTGCTGCATTACCAAGATGTTTGAAAGGGGAAAAAAAAAGTGACATTTCTGAGGAAAATGGGGATATTGCAGATTGTGAATGACTTTGGCTTCTGTTCTGCCACATTTCTAAAGGCTGCAGGTTTTTGAAACACAAAGAATTTAAGGAGGTTTCAGAATGAAAAAACAGGTACCCACCAATCACAAGTGATCATTTTTGTTCCAAATACTTAATACTATGGGTAGGCTTTGAAAAAATAGTTCTTTAAGCCTAAAATAAAACAAAATCACCTGTTTCTAGCATTACACATCTAAAGGAAAACCACCTACATCTATCACAATTCAGATCCCTCTACAGTCCTGTAAATGGAAACAAACACTCCTCCGAGGCGGTTAATTGTCAGCCCGAAGTGGGAAAAATATTAAAATTATCACAAATTGAACCCTGACTGTCTAGGAATGTTATTTTTTTTCCCTTCAATTTACTGATAATTTAAAGGAACCTAGAAACCTCCAAAGCAAGGTTAAGGAAAAGGCTTGCAACTGTGCCTTTTCATGTATTCATAGTGTGTCATTGCAAGTATTCTAATGGTTTTTATAATGATTTATAATGTTATATGTAACTTATTATTTTTAAATACCTTTGCTGAAATCATGATATGCAATTATTGCAAGTGCAAAATTTATACCAGGAGGTAACAAATTCCTTGAGCGTTGCCCCTTGTAACTCAGTACCACATAAACTACTTGTTCATGAGCCAGACAGCTCAAGATGAACAGACTTTCAGCTGAAGCATTTTGCAGCCCACACACTGAAAATGCACGGTATTCCAATGAGAAGTATTAACTGACATGCCTTTTTGCAGGCTATTTAGAGTTGATTGCTAGGCATTTTATCTCATTTATAGGGCTGATTTAAAAATAATCAAACCTCATAATAGTGAAAACTGTGGAAAAAAGGAAACAGATATGACTTTTTCTCATACACTGAGCTAAATACTTTTAAGGAATTGTAAAATCGTTCTAATGGTATTAATTAAGAGAAAACAGGTCCCTCTCATGTTATTTTCAAAGTCAGATGAATCAAAAACAGTTTAGCTTAGTAAAGCAACAGAAGCCATCACAGAATACATAGGCATGCTGCAGACATTTTCAGAAGCATGTAAACATATAAAGCCACCTGCTAATAACCCAGTCTCACGTTCAGGGACAAGAAAATATAAAGGCAGAAGAATAAAGAGGCTCTTTTTCTTTTCTTTTCCCAAACATCAGCCTTACAAAACATAACTGATGTGAGCAGGCTGAACTACAGAGACAAAACTCTTCTTTCCCAGAACAACCAAATGCAAGGTCCTCACAAGACACCAGGCAGTACATTAAGAAGGGACATTTCAAGAACAACAATCTCCTTTTCCCATAAGCTTGGGAAGTGCATTAACCCACTCATCTAAGATTTTCAAGAATTTTCCTTATGGCACACCCACAGTATCTCCTGTTTTTAAATGAAGAGCACCCAATAAAACTATTGTATTGCAAATGAAACTACCCTCCTAAGTTCTGCTGTAAATAACTAAGCCCATGATAGCAGAGGAGACAGCATATTGTGTCTCAAACACAAGCTGTCCACTTGAAATGCCAAGTTTGCCACACAGCAATAGGTCAGAGTTTGGCCTTTCAAAATCCTTACAGCTGCTTCACTGGTCACCAGGGCTTAAACAATGCTGGCAAAACCCTCACTGACACCCACCACACACACACCAGACATTAATTAAAACCAGCATAGATCTCTTAATCTAATACGTCATCTTTTCCCTTAGCATTTCATCGAGACAGAGTGCTGGTTCTACAGCACCTTTCCAAGTTTCTAAAGTGAAAATGTGTCTTGTTCAGGGATGAGTGGTGCTATCAGAAAGTCTATTTTTCCTGACTTTCTTTACCCTAAAAGTACCTGGGGCTACATCGTATCTTAATATGGAAGAA